CTTTTTTCCTGCATGTATGATCAAAGAATACAATTTGTGTATTTTTATCTGCATGCACTTCTATTCTTTTTGTATTATCTCCTGGGTCTGCATGAGGATTAGGGTTAATAATTTTTCTATCTTTTTTATGTTTAAATAATATACCTCCTTTTGCTGCTGCTGCTGCTGCTGCTGCTGCTGCACCACCACCTAAACCCTCATCTATAACCACCACAAAGTCTATACTATCACGACAACTTACAAACCCTGTACCACTATTATAGTATGATAAATCCGAAGGACGAGGAAGCAGCCTGCACACAAACCCTAAACCCTAAACCCTAAACCCTAAACCCTAATTTTTTTATCCCTCAAATAGGAAAGTTTAAAATCATAAACCCTCTTATACTGCAGATCTTACACTTTATACATATTAAACTCTAGACTTTAGGGTTGGGAGGTTAGGGTTTAGGGTTTAGGGTTTAGGGTTTAGGGTTTGACTTTTTTTTTCCGCTAGCAATATCTTTATAGTCATTATCCTTCATTCTTGATTTAATATCTATATAACCACTAATTATTTTTTCTTTATCATTTTTATCTCTAATAAAGACAATAGTAGATAGACAGCCACTTCTTAATAGTTCCTCTCTTGCTGCTAGCTGGCATGCTAGTATAGTGTTGCTGCTGCTGCTGCTGCTGCTGCTGCTGTTGCTGTCTTTGTTGTTGCTGCTGCTGGAGGAGCAAGTGCTGCTGCGACGGGTTGAGGGTCGGCCAGGTACGTCTGATGATGCCCAGGTACGAGAGGGACCACCACGTTGACCTCCTTGCTGCTGCTGCTGCTGTTGTTGCTGCTGTTGCTGCATCTGCATCAGCTGCTGCTGCTGCTGCTGCTGCTGCTCGTCAAGGGCATCCGCCTTCTGATAGAATGCCTCTCTAGATAATACAGACCCTTTTATATTCAGGTGTACGTACACCGCAGATACACACACAAAAGAAACAATTCATGCTGCTGTGTCTGCTTCTGTCTGCTGCTGCTGCTGCTCCTGTTGCTGCTGCTGTCTGCTGCTGCTGCTGTTGCTGTTGCTGTTGCTGCTGCTGCTGCTGCTGCTCACCTGCGTAAACAACGCACACACGACAGCAAACACACCTTTTAATTATCTAATTAATTAATCAATTAGTACATAATTAAATAATAATTATTAATTAATTAATTAATTAATTGATTAATTAATTAATTAATTAATTAATTAATTAATTAATATAAGTCTTACCTTTTAGGCAGCCAATCTCTACAAGATCCCTTGCCAACCTTTCCTGCATAAATAAATAAATAAATAAATAAATAAATAAATAAATAAATAAATAAATAAATAAATAAATAAATAAATTACAAATAAATAAGATAAATAAAATAAATAAATAGATTATTTAATTAATTAAATAGTTAATTGTATAGGAAAATAATTAACTAAATAGTATACAAAACAAGTAAATAAACTAATAAATTAATAAATAAATTAACATAATAAATTAAATAATAAATAAACTAATAAATTAAATAATAAATTAAATAAATTAAATAATAAATCTAGTTATAAATAGACGCAATAAACAGCAGCAGCAACAGCAGCAGCAGCGACAACAACAGCAACAACAGCAACAGCAGCAGCACGAACAACAGATCAAGCATATACCTACTTACATAAACCTCCCTAAACCCTAAACCCTAAACCCTAAACCCTAAACCCTAAACCCTACTTACATCGCTTAGATAAATTCTATCATTATCTGTTAAGAAAGAATCTAAATAATCTTCATAAGTCTCTACTTGTCTTAATTCCTCCGCTAAACTTGCGGGGGCCCCCATCTTAAGGAATAATATATAAACCCTAAACCCTAAACCCTAAACCCTAAACCCTAAAAAACCCTCAACCCTCAACCCTATATATTAGATAGACGAAATAGAGGGGAAATGAAGTCCCAAACCCCAATCTTCTAACCAAAATACTAATCAAAGCTTAATGTAAGCAATTGATTAATATTAGGGTTTAGGGTTTAGGGTTTAGGGTTTAGGGTTTAGGGTTTATTGCTACGCTTCGATTGGCATCGGGGCCCCCGTGCTAGCGGCGAGACTAGAGAGAGGAGAATTCTGTTCCTTTTTTCTTTACATTAATTTAATTAATTATTTATCTTTTATTTATTTTTATTTATTTATTATTTATTTTCTTATTTTTTTTGCTATTTATACCTCAATCCTCATAGCCACACGGCAAGACCCTTGGGGGCCCCCATCGGAGGGGCCCCCCGCGGCCACTAGGCAGCCCCCAGTAGCCTCTGGGTACCATGTTTAGGGTTTAGGGTTTAGGGTTTAGGGTTTAGGGTTTAGCAGAAGGAGTTTATTTGCCTTGTAGACGTTTTTTGTTATGTCTTCCTTTCTTCTACAGCCTAGGGTTTACGATCTAGGGTTTACAATTTAGGGTTTAGGGTTTAGGGTTTAGGGTTTAGGGTTTAAGGCCATGGG